CAATGGTCCACTAATCCAGGGTATTATAAATTTTATCAAACTAATCATCACCTAAATCAAATTATCATCAATATGACGAAGTTTCTGCCTTATTGTTAATGTTTTCATTAGAAATAACACTAAATGCGAGTAATGTATTAATTTAGGCCTGGCGGTTGAGCTCTGGATGTTAGAACTGGCGAGACGCGTTCGATTCCTTGCGATATAACAATATATTCGCAGTACTTTAACCTCTGGGGTGTTATAAGAGTGACAGTAAGTCTCTTAGCGTGGGTCTCTTAGTCTCTTATTGTTATCATCATTAACTCTGAAAGTTTTTTGATTGATGTTATATATATGAAAAAACAAACAACAATAAAGAACACACTGGTGGCTCGGTGATAGCTTGTGGGCTTATAATGTTAGAACTCAGGATTCGATATCCGCGGTGGGCACTACGCAGGCAGCCTGTCGTGTAGCATTACATTTAAACATAAACAAAGATATAGAAAAGTTAATTAAATTCTTGAAGAATTTTAGATATATGCCAAATAATTTATCATTGAAACTACTGTGAGTTTTCTCCTTGTTGCCACTGCAGTTATATTTCAAAACTAAGTTTTGTTTTAAAATTGCATACTTTCTCTATCAGTACAAAGATCGTGTCAAAATGTATCTTTTGTTTTGTAACTCTAATTCTTTATTTCTCACACTAAGCGAAACGTTTGTTACGCAACCAAAACACGATTGTTTGAGTCTTTATATTTCGCTACCAACCGACTATTGAAATCGTCAGTAGATGTAGGCTGATTTTCTCCAAGGACTGAATACTTGTATGGCATTGCTAAACGTTTCGTTGAATATTGGTTTCTTTTCTTCCAGGACTTAATATTTGTAAGGCAATATTAAACGTTTCGTTGAATATCGGTTCCTTTTCTTCAAGGACTGGACGTTTGTAAGGCAATATTAAACGTTTCTTTGAATATTGGTTCCTTTTCTCCAAGGACTTAATATTTGTAAGGCAATACTAAACGTTTCGTTGAATATTGGTTCCTTTTCTACAAGAACTTAATATTTGTAAGGCAATATTAAACGTTTCGTTGAATATCGGTTCCTTTTCATCAAGGACTGGACGTTTGTAAGGCAATATTAAACGTTTCGTTGAATATCGGTTCCTTTTCTTCAAGGACTGGATGTTTGTACAGCAGTACTAAACGTTTCGGTGAGTACAGGCTGCTTTTCTTCAAGAATTGAATATCATAAAGGCTGGTTTCATTCAATGACTGAATATCCAAACGTTTCAGTGAATATCGAATAAAAGATTTTACATTAATGTTACTTTCAACGGAATCGACTAAACTCCGTTTACCGTGTTTTACTCACACCTGTAAGATAACAAGCTTCTACTAAGAGGTACTTTATACTTTTGGAACAAACTAGAATATTCTGAATATAAATAGTTCACAATAAGACATAGACAGGACTCCTAGCCGACAATTTGTTCATGAAATGTTATTCAAACGTTTCCTTATAACAATGAATCAATGAAAAAACTAAATCCGAGCCTGAGAGTACGTCTTTAAATCTCTTTATTTTTTATATTATTTCAAAAAAGACCATAATAACGTAAAACAAAAAGAAAGCAATGTAGATTATGTTGAAATGTACAACAAAAATTAGATTAGCACTTTATGCGCTAAGATAAAAATAAAATCATCTAAATTACTTCAGAGAAAACACGAGAAATTGTTTAACGAAATTTTTAATCTTGGGTCAATGTGTGCCGAATTGTGGGTCCGATGACTCTCGTTTTGGGTCCCATTGCCACAAAATCACGCTCCGCACTTTGTACGATACAAG